GGCGCGGCATTGCGTGGTTTCGGGGTCGTATTATCCGCGCCGTCCAGACCGCCGCCGCCAACCAGGACCTGGGGCGGCAGCTCTCCACCTCTCCCTCCCCTTCCTTTTCGTTCGCGTTCCCAGTAGCCACAGTCAAGGTCAGGTACAAAGGGGGACTCAGCTCTCGGAGGCGTTTAATGATGTTGTAACTGCGCAGGCTCACGATTCTTTCATCTTCATGCCTGAGCTGGCATCCCACGCTGCCTTCCAGCGCACACGGTGATCTACTTAGTTTGAGCGCGCCCCGCCTCAGTATTTGCGGATCCGCCGACTGCACCCATCAGCGCGCTGGAAGAGAAATTGTGGAGCCTCCTGGAGGCCCCTGGGAGCCATCTTGGACCTCTCCTATGGCCTTTTTGGGAGCGATTGGTACATCATGAACGACGACGGCCACGACATTGACGATGACAACGACGACGTCGACGACGACGACGAGTTGTCAGATGCTGGAGCCTCGAGGGAGGGGCACCTCGCTGAATTTGGTGTTGTCGGATTGCGGAATCGCTGTGCCAGGATTCAGGAACGTCGTGAGGATACTTGCCCGGAACGTGGAATCTGTTCACGCCCACGAGTTTCTCGCTTCTGCTGCTGCTGGTCCTCATCCTCCTCTTCCCCATCCACCTCCACCCCCAATGCCTGCACTTTATGAATTCTCCCTCCCCACACTCGAGTGGCCAGCGACCAGGCGCAATGCTCCCCACTCATCGCCCTAGACGAGATAGCAGTTTCTAACCAGACAAATGCCCAGTCAAACCACAAGGGTTGGCCCGTATACGGGCGAGGTTACAGCGCAATGGGCAAAGCATGCACGTGCGCTTGGTAGAGCAAGTGTTGTGCCTCCGAGGTGGGGAGAGGAACAAGAGGGGGGCGGTCCTCACGCATGAATGCAATACTCGACGAATGCATCCTCATTACGTTCCTGTGCAATTTCAAGCCAACGGGATACGGTATGCAACACATCATGGGCGAATCCTTGAAGGTGGTCGTCCCATCTTGACGCGTGGCGTCCGCGCGACCGCGTGTCCCCGTTCGTGTAGTGCGGGCTCCACGTCATGACTTTCTGAGCCCATTCATTGTTCAGCCACGCCGACCGGCAGGCACACTTGAACACTCGACGACAAAATAATTCACGTCATTTTTGAAAAGAGAAGATGTGCATCGCATGGTCGACACTGTCCCCCACTCGTCTCATATCATCTAGCTTCCCATCATCTTCACGACGCTTCCAACCAACAATCAAACGAAGCATTTTGTTTTGAAGTGCGTCCAAAGACTTCATCTGCTGTTTTGTCAAAGCCGCGGCTGGTAACCCGAACAACAATGCTGGTGTAATGACAGACTGGAGCAGCTTGAACCGCAATCGCAAGGATACGTTTCGGTCTGTGAGAACATGGTGGTGCTCTTGAAATTTGTGCAAAGCCAGCCAGGCCTCTTCTGTCCCAACTAAACAGTGTTATGGTTATCCAGATTTGCCGGTATGTTTTCTGCGCATGTGTTTGAGATCATCCGTGCTTCCCTTCTGTTTTTTCAGCCACGGCCTCAATGACAATGAGCAAGCGTTCCATCCCATTCTCTGTGTTTGGGAATTTTGTCTTCTCAGGGTTTAGGTGTAGACCTTTTGCCATTGCGGATAGCGTCTTCCATCAGCGCCTTCAATTTGATCGACAGCAGATCATCTCCACCGCCATTAACCAGCCCTTGTCGTACATCTGCACGGTCACGCGCGTGCTTCAGCAGAAGGGTTTTGTACTTGGAAGGACCCTACCGACAACATCGACGTGCGCGGAGCCTTCTTTTCCCTCCTCCATGACGCCATCTTCTGGGTTCTGGAGGTCATGAAGATCCCTGCGCACATTGTCGAGGCCATTCGAGCGCTCTACCAGGACTTTTGGGTCGAGGTTAGATATAAGGGCCGCGTTGGGATTGGCTTCTGTGTACGACGGGGAATCCAGCAGGGATGCCCCCTCTCTGGGAGCTTACTCCCTCGTTCGCCGTTTTTGGAGCTTCCGCCGACGACGTAGGTTTATCGGCCGGGGATATCGCGGTGAGCCTGGAAAGGTCATTGAGCTCCTGGGCCTTGGCTGACTCAAGGCTCGGCCTCGCCCTCAATGAAGGGAAGACCGTTGTAGTTCTTCTCGCCGATTTCTCCCTCAGCATTCCGCCGAGAGATGGCGCGGCACGATCACTCCGAATTGGCCTTTCTGATTTCTTCCCGTGGCTGGTACCTCGGAATGGTACTCGGGCACGGGTGAAAGTTTGGAATTTGATGCGGCCCCCCCTGGCCAAGTATCAAGCCCGCGCGCAGCAGGTGCGCGCTTCGCCTTGGGCTACAGGAGACCCTCAGCCCCTATGACATGTTGGCCTGATCAGTGCTGACGTGTGTGTCCCAGTTTTGCCCCGTTGCTCCGACGGTGCTGTGCATCGAGCGCGTGACGCTGCAGCGTGCCGTGTGCGCACCGCGGAACGCCATGCCTCCCTCCCTTCTCTGCTCCCTCCGTTCCCTCGACTTTCCTGTCCAAGCACGGTCTCTTGAGCACGCAGGCTGGGCCGCCATGTTTATGGCAGCCAATAGCTTCAACGCCTTGCAGGATAACATGACTCTGTTCGCCAAGTTCGAAGATGATCGGGAATGCGTGGTGGTGTGGAGGAGCCGTCCCCTTTGGAGGCAGTCTCTTTTCGGGGGCATGGCTGACAACTACACAAGCTTCACCGCCCTGCCCGCGCTTCCCTCCGAGAGCGCCAGCTTGCAGCACAAAGTCGATCGGCGCCTCGCGTCGCTTGCCCCCGACCCTTGCGGGGAGGTTTTGTGGAGACGGGCTCAACGCTTCAACAGAGTCGTGCCGCTCACGGCCGATGAAGAGATGCTCGCCAGCACCATCTTCTGCCAGCTTGGGCCGCACCTCCCTCTCTGCTCTTTTTCCTCTTCCCTGCGGACTCCCACGAACTCATGGTGTCCTTCTGGGCGATTCGGGACCGCAAATTCGTGCATAGCATGCCGGACGCCTGAGAGTGACAACATTCGGCATATCATCGATTGCTTTCTGTTTAGCGAGATCGCGGCTGGTGTTTCCCACCTCCCCCATGGCTTCGTCCTCGGGGACGGTGTTTCTAGACTGTGTTGCTGGTGTCTTTTCCCCCTGCCAGTGGAGACCCTCCTTGCCATCGCACTTCCTTGCGATGTCGTGAGTAAGGTCTACCATGACATCCGCCACAGGCGGCTCACCCGCGACCGGAGTCTGGGGTTAGCACGGGCTCGCCTCCAACAGTTGGCCCGAGGCACCCGCGGGTTAGGGCAGTGATAGCGCGATTTTGATGCATTCACACGAGCAACAGAAAACGGTCAACGTCGTGCCCCCGGGGCGGACAAATTGTGCTCCCCCGGGTGCGCTCGCAGGGATCGCCCAAAAAGTTCGAGGTGCCCCCCAGTGCCTTCATTGAGTTAGCATTACAGCTAACTGTGGGCCAAGGTCCCCCCCATGAGTTTGCCTACTGCAGGCCGGCTTGTGTGGAGTTCTGGGCCTGCTTCTTCCGCGCCTTTGCTGTTTTCTCCTTGTTCACCCCTGGTCATTCTGACCTTCTCTGGCCCGGTGGCAGTGTTTTCCATCTTTGGGGGGCAGGATGTGTCCACCCTGTCTGCTCTGTAGGTCGCTCGCGGCTGGCATCGCTGCCCGTTGTCGGGATAATTAGTCTTCTCGACGGACCGCGGACTTCCTCATCCCAATTGTTGTTTTTCTTTGGTATTCTCTTTCGGACTGTCTTCATTCCCTTGTCCGCCTTGCTCTTGCTAGCCAGTGTCACTCCAACATGATGGAAATCTCGTCGGCGGAGCTCGCGTACAACATGATATCATCTTCACACCGCATGTTTGTGAGCCTCGCGCCGTGCCCGATGAGTACTCCGGCCTACCCGATACGGACTTTCCAGCTTGCCATTCATAATTCAAAACCAGCATTAAAGCAACATCGGGTTGATGACGACGTTTTGCTTGACCCCATCGCTGGATGCGAAAAGTTTGCGCCCCTGGCACAGGGCCCACTTGTCCAGAACACATAGTCGCCAGCAAAGCAATGTCGAAGGGCATCAAATAGAGGGCCATTTTCAATATTGTCGAACGCTTTGCGTAGATCCAGACTGGCGCACCATAGCGTCACTTGCCATTCGATACTTCTACCGCATACCCGTTGAATTACCAGAAACGCGTCATCCATCATGATGGTTGAGCTTGAAGCCGGACTGCTCGGGCCCGTGCTCCTCCTCGAGAACGTTGTTGGCCTCCAGTTGTGCGCTTGTACCAACCCCCAGACTTAGAGAGTTTTGCAACTAATGTGTCTTTCCACGATTATTTGACCTCCCCAGTTCCAAGTATTTCAAACAATGGCGGGTGTCCTGTCAGCACTCTAAATGCGATGGACAGGTATTATGTTGTATGCGTGTTGCGTGTGTGTGTGTGAGAGTGTGTGTGTGTGTGCGTGTATGTGTGGAAGTGTACGTGTGTGGACATGTTTCCCGCTGCGCGTTGGCCCACCATCCTTGCCACGAGCCAACGCGTTGTGTTTCTGGGCGTGCAAGCCAGACACCAGATCTACTGCCGACCACCCCGCCGCTTTCACTTTACGCTAGTGTTGACAGACGGTGGGTGTGTTGGCATGTTGCCCAATGTGTTGCTACGCGCACGGGCGCAACTGGCGTTTTCTGCATGCGCCGCCCGCACCTGGCGTGCGCGGCGCGCTTGAAGCTCGCGGCGCGCTCGGCGCACGTGGTGCACCATGCGTGCCTAGCACGTCTGCGTAAGCACCTGGTGCGCGTGGCGCGCAAATCACGCGTGGTTGACCTCGCGAGCGTGGCGCGCAGGGAGCCAGCGAGACAGTTTGTGACGTTCCCGCTGGAAGCTCGACCCCTTCCCCCCTTTCCCACCCACACTCTCATCTCCCCCCCCCTTCCTCCCCCCCCCTGACTCACCC